CTGGATCCTTGACCCACTGAGCCAATCATTTACAAAAGAGCGTTTGCAGTTCCTTTTGCACCAGTTGGCTTGAAGCGGTAAGTAGATTGTTGTTGTTTGCATCATAAATTCTGGAGAGGAGGACCGAGTGGTTGCTTCTGTTGTCCTTGCCAATGGTCGAGCATGAAGAAGCATGGTCGAGCACGCACCCAGTACACATTGGCACCGCCTGTTCGCGTACCCAGCCGAGGTGAGAAGGGTGAGTACGTGACTCCAGCAAAGAACCAGGGCCACTGTGGTTCCTTGGCCTGAACGCCTTGGCCAGCCTCTGAATCGGCCGACGTGGGGTCGATGGTTTTGACCCACTGGAACCACCGGGCGTTTTGATTCTTCCAACCACGTCACCACAGACCGGATCAACACGTGGGACGATTTACTCCCAGGCTGGATGCTCCCCAAACTGATACAAAGGCGTAGTCGATCTCTGACAGGCCTTCAACCACCTCATGGTGCTACCTCACATTCGACCAACACATGGCATCCACGCCTTAAAACATTTGTTTATGTATGTTTGTGGATGACACACTCCAGCTCAACCCTTCAAGGCCGCATTTGTGCTGGCCACAACAGTGACATATCTATCCTTCATGGCAGGATACCATCTTGTCGCAACATAGCACAAACAGCAACGCCAACCTGCAGCGGCGCAGCCACCCACCTCTCTCGAAGCCGACTTGGCACATTGGTACACTAACTAACGCTGGCGCACACACACACACACAGAGCTGCTGGACACGCGCATTTTCCAACCTCACAATAGCCCACGAAACCTCACCATCGCCTGGCTCAGGTGTTGCCTGGGAGCATCAGCATGGCCCTCCCAAGCTACATGCTGCATGCATAATATATTCGCGAAGCATGGAGAGGTACACAATACGACACATCATCACATCACTTCAGCATCATCACTGATGGGGTAGCAGGTGTGAAGCGTTACGCCATCGTGAAACATAAAGACTTAGCCACAGACCTAGCTAAACAACAGGACGGGTTCCCATCTCCACTCCGACAGACACCATGCAAAAGAGGCTTGGATGGCCTGGCCCTTCTCACTGCCACCACGACGAACAATGCGATCACGCAGTGATCCACTGCGTGGTCAACACACTTTTCATTTTTACCAAGAGATATGTCATTCCTGACAGACAGCACATCACCCACAGCGAACAACCTCCCGAACGGGTGTAGAACACATCGTCACCCCTGAAGCGGCAAGTGGAGGTAGTGGGCGCTTGTGATCAAGAGCCTTGCGTTTGCAACTTAGGCTCCTGTTGGGCTTTCGCGGCGACAGCTGTTATCGAGAGCCATGCTGCGATCCGGACCGATTTTGGGATGATGATATTTTTTGAACAAAGACGTGTCACCGGTCATCAGGGCCCAGGATCACAAACAGTTACGACAATTCTGGGCCTTTGTATCTAAGTGCAGACCTGTGACTTGCAATCACGGGGTCGGGGCTGTTCTGTTTTCGAGCCACTCAAACTCATTACACTTAGACAAATCCAGCCAATTAATGTCTTTTTCCAGATAAGATGAAACCTCTGCTGCTTCTGTTGGACACGCCCTGGCAACACTTTCAAATCAATCGAATCGACCCTGCAGTACGGGTATTTTGGCTGAATTGGGACCGCAGATGATGGTCTCTTGCGCCCCAAATCCTCGAGCATGCGGTGGCACTGGCGGCTGTGAGGGTTCCTTGGAGATGCAGCAAGGACCATGCACACATCGCAACCAGGCATAGCGCAAGTACATGCTATGCCAAAATGTCTTTGGCATGTCACATGTAGCATATTTGTGGCCCAAAGCGTGTGCATTTAGTCTTAGCCCTTGGAACCTGGATCCGAATCAGGTCTCATAGTGCCCTTAGATTGCTCTGACACCAGACATGCCATACAAAAGGGTTTGCTTGTAAGTTGATTTGTAAGCATGGACTCATTTCATGTTTGGCAATCCCTTCCCACAAGTTTAAGGCCTTGAACAGGATACCTCGAAATGAATTGATCACAACAGATCTATCACTAAGCCACGGGGTGTTTCTTCTTTTTCTGGAGGCCGAGGCACTATTTGCGTGAAGCGAGTGAAACAAATAGCAAGGTAGTCTGGAGTTCAGATTCGACTTTCAGGTGCCACTGCACAGATCGGCTTCGGCTTCGTCATGAACAACGCCTTGACCTACGAAGAGGTGCACGAGAGCCGAGCCGATTCGTCCTCGTCCACGCGGACGCGGGCCCGGCTCGTGGGGGTCCCCCGTCAATTTGTGGAGCGTGCAGAGACAAAGAAAAGGGTGAAGCTTGAAAAATGAAACGGCTTGAGAGAGATATGACCGAGCAACGTTTCTACTTTGCCCAGACAGTGAGCTACTCATCTTTCTGGGGGAGCTCTGGTGAGTGCACGGACACGAGCCTCGGAGGATGCAGTGCAGCTGATTTTCTAGAAGTAGCGAAGGAGCAGAAGGAGCAGAAGGAGCAAGGTGAGTAATTACTTGGTAAAGCTCTTGTGCTTGATATGTGTGACTGGTGAGATTCCAAAGACCACCTGACAAACTGAGGATGAAACTCCACTACCAACATTATCCCGTGGTTTCGGTTCAGAACTACGTCAGCAATCCAACCAACCAGTTGGGTCCTCTGATGGAAGCCTTGGTGACAGCAGGGCCACAGGCGCGCGTGTGGCATGTCCCTGTCCGCATGAGAGAGGCTTAGGCTTAGTGTTTGTGGACATATTTGCGGTAGTGGCGGTGGGTTGCAGTGGTGGTGGTGGTAGTGGTGGTGGTGGTGGTAGTGGTGGTGGTGGTAGTGGTGGTGGTGGTGGTGGTGGTGGTAGGAGCAGCAGGAATGATAGGAAGAGCAGGAAAAGGAGTTGGAGTCGATGGAGACAGAGATGTGGATGAGAAGATGAAGGAGGAGGAGGAGTAGTAGCAGCAGCAGCAGTAGTAGTAGAGATAGACATAACTTGAAGGGCAGAGGTAGAAGGAGAAGCAAGCAAGAGTAGGGCGAGTAGCAGAAGTGAGAGAAGGCCTAGGAGTCTAGGACTAGGAGTAAGACTAGCAGCAACAGCTGGTAAATACTGACACCAGTGCTAGCAGTTAGGTAGGATGCAAACCAAACCATGAAAAATGACCCTCAGGCGCAAAGAGCAAGACGGATGGTCGTAGGAGTGGAAGAGAGTATACCAGAGTAGTAGGGGAGCCAAGAATGCCAGAAGAGTAGCAGGAAGGAAACACGTTTCAAGTAGAAGCAGGAGGAACTTTCTAGTATATATAATCCCTTTTATTCCCTGCACTGGATGCAGCTTCAAGATATGGGTATGGTATGGCCAGACACAGTGTGTGACTGACAGGTTCTGCTTGAGCCTGAGCATGCTCTCGATGATTCGATGATTTGTATAAATTTCCGTCACATTCCCCCGGAGGCCATTTCAGTAGATGCAAGCGGCTGGAGCCCTTATGTGAATGGCATTGCGGACTTTTGCCCCACGGACCGTGGGTGGCGAATCCACGCACGTGGAAGTCCCTTAGGTTTTCAGACACCAAAGTTGCAGTATACCATTCTTCATTCAGAGGGTTGCTTGCGCCGGGGCATCAATGCTAATAGACAAAAGATGCCACGTCACTTTGTACCTACTGTTTTGCAGACCAAAACTCTTCCCCCTCGCGAGAGTGTGGAATTCCACCAGTTACAGGTCCTTTTGAGGTGGTGATGGAACCGGAATCCTCACCCGGACCGCAGCCTTTCATCATGCAGGACCGCAACATCGATATTGACCACGCGGTGGTTCTCATGGGCTATGGTGAAGAGAATGGCGTTAAGTACTGGACCATCCGCAATTCTTGGGGTACCTTGTGGGGCGAAGATGGCTATATCCGCCTCATTAGGCACGAAAAGGAGCAGACTCATTGTGGGTATGACAGGACGCCAATGGATGGAAGCGCCTGTGCAGATGAGCATGTCACCGAACAATACGTTTGTGGCACCTGCGGAATTCTTTTCGACACCTCCTATCCAACAGGAGCCCATTTTGTGGGCGTCGGCTCTGGAGACGTCAACCGCTAGGCTTCCCCATTGTTTTCCAGACTTTCAATCCGCACTGATCCTACTTACTCGGACAAAAAAGGCGTGTAGCTGGGACACTTGCTGGCAAAGAAGAGGTTGTCTAGTACCTAAACCATTCGATCCTGGTGCTTCTTGTGACTCCAGCTGAGAAGGGCCATGGGGAAGCGTTTCTCACGGAGATCAATCGCGTTTTGTGAGGCTACACTCAAGGGAGCAGTGCTACTGCCTAAGCTGCTTTCTTCAGGCCATGTGGTTTCGCACATCACCTGGGTTGACGAAGCCACACATGGAATGAGAAAGCTTTTTTGCAATGGTACCCTTGACTCAGCCCAAGATAACGTACATGAATGGCACACAAATACTGTACATTTTTCACGGTTCAGCAATTTGGTGTAGTTGATGCCGAGCTTTTCAAACCAACGTCAACCAGGGCAAATGCTTTGCTGCCCCCCGACCCACCATACATTCGCCTCGGTATGCATGACAACCTGTAGCTGGCAAAGTGCCAGTTGTTGCTGCAGGAGGGGTTGAGCAAGCAAGACCCCACCCACCTCAGTTGCCAGTGGGGCGCCGCAGCATTGTCAGCCCAAGCGTGCATTCAACGCTCCATGAGCTTGAGAGATGAAATGCCATCATGCCTTGCATGTTTTCCTTTCTTTTGTACCTACTGTGAGCGATGTGCAGTGCATGTCATGTTCATATGAGCAAAACACGGCGACTAGGTAGGCTGCAAAGCAGGTGCCCCTGGAAAGTGCTTTCGGACAGAGGCAGGCCCGCAGGCTACCAGCATTCACACACTATATATATCCAGCCCAATTGTTAAAGTTGCACGAGTTTTGCCAAGAAACATAAGATGATGCAATGGGAACAAAGCTTTCAGAGGCAGATCTCTAACGAAACATACCAGGACTCGAAAAGGGGGTCTTCATGGCCATCCGGTGACGGCTTCTCCCATGCCGCAGGCCATATGGCCTTGTTTATTTTTCGGGATTCCGCAGTGGTTGAGTACATGACGGATGTACTACCAAGAACCTTATGCCCTGAAGGGGCCATAGATTTGAACCCATAGCCCATTCTTCTGCCACTCTTGGCGGCGGAGACGGTCGTGGGAACGGGGAAGAAGGCACCAGATCGATGGAGATGGGTCACTTCCTTCGGTGGAAATCGTTGCCCACTCCTTTGGTTTCCAGCACTCACAACTTCTGGACGGTGAAACCTGTGTGACAGTTCTTTCTTGAGGGGACACCGATCGGACGTTTCGATCGCGACACCGCCCCTTCTCCGCGATCGGACGTTTCGATCGCTTCGATGCGCCAACCAAAGCAGCCTGGTTGACAGAGCCTAGGTGGTTCACCGCTCACAAGACGAGGACATTCCGCCCCTGTCCTTCTCTGGTGCTTGGCGTTCTGTAGCCCTGCAGCTGGAGGCCTTGGAAGCAAGTTTGCTTCCCGCGGTTTTGCGGTTGCGACGGGTGCAGCATACGGTCAAGCTGACACGTGCAAATGGAAGATAATGGAAGTATATTTACTGTGCAATCTATGCATACATATAGATATGCTAGCACAACTCAATCTCAATCGTCACAGCAGTTATGGAACACCCATATTCAGATTCACCTCAAAGTGGCACCTGTCTTGATGCTGTATGCTACGGAACAACAACTGAGGGAATCTGAGGGAAGTGGAGGTCAGCCGAACATGGCTTGTACGAGAACAGGGTACACATGGCTCAATTTGATACAACACATCATTGTTGCCCTGGCGAGAGTCTGCCATTGAAGCTGTTGCAAGGTCTACAAAGAGCGCCCTGCCAACTTGGCTTTTCTACTGGCTTTGTGCACTTGGCTGGCTGCTGGCTACAGGACCGGCACCCGTGCTGCGACCTCGCTCCACCCAGGTTCATTTTCGTTGCAGATCTTTCTCAGCCACTGCACTCATTCGGTCAGAGAATTTCGGACGTATGCAGCCCATTTCGATTCCCATTTCGGTGCTCGTCTTTGCATTTCGATTCCCATTCCATTAAAGGCGGCCCTCGCTATGCATTTCAGGCTCTGCTGTGGTCTGAGCTCTGCAGACTTGACAGGTGCCGGACGGGGTATCGTGCAGCCGGACGGGTTGGAGATGTTTCCAGCAACTGACCCAGCAACTCTCCGGAGCCGTCATTCTGTTCCGCAGAGATGGAGTCTTTGCACTTGATGCCGATCCACCACACCCTGCAGGCATTTGCTTGGATGCCAAAACGCTCTACTTCCGTGGAGATCTGAGCCGCTGGCTGCTGCACATCTTCTGGCCGCTCGAGCCAGGCAGGGAATTACAAAGCCCATGAAAGCCCTGATGTGCACAAAAAGGTAGAATGCCAATTCTGTAAGAACACGGATTCTGCTAAGCTCAATCAGGGGCAGGGTTTAGACATGTCGGACCGAGCACAAGTGGTGATCAATGAGAACCCCATTCCCG